CCCCCCCCCCCCCCTCCCCCAGGTTATGGTGGATCCTGATGCTCCAAGCCCAAGCAACCCTAACCTGAGAGAGTATCTACACTGGTTAGTCGAGTTTAACAAGCCCTTCTTGTAGTTTTTCTTTTCAATAAAAAATATTTGTATATATAACTATCACATACTGCTGGAAAAAATAGAAGTTGTTCTTGTAGTTGAAAGATAAGAAATTGTAGGGTTCTTTCTAAATGTTGCATGGGCTTCTTCCATCTATATCATTTCAAGCTTATACAATATACCTTTTTGAAGAGGTTAGGCTGCATATATATACACCTCTTGGCTCTTGGACATGTACTAGTTGCTTTTTTATTATTAATATATGAGGTAGCTAGGGGTCAGATCTACCTAACCCCTCCCACATTGAAGGTGGCTTTGATTGAAAAAAATAAGAAGTTAGATACAGTTTAATCCCATCCATATATGCTTGCAACCGAGATAATTATTTTATGTGCTCAAAACATAAGAGATGGTTTAAGAGAATCCAATTTGTCTAACATAAAATCATAATGTCACTCAACTTATAACTAACGATATGTACTGCAAACTCTAATTCTTTCATAACGCAAGTGAGACTAATACTTTAGACTTCTTAGTCAAAATACTAACTTCAGTCTCAACGCCGATATGACATATGTTATAAAGGATACTACCCTTACAATAAAAAAGAAACACAAAATCATCACAAATTCAAGCATCACAAAATATTTTGTGATGGAAGAATGAGATCGTCACAAATACGTCAAAATTTTTGTTCAGATTTATATATTCCGTCATAATATTGTCACAAGTAGATCATCAGTCAAAAATATTCCATCACAAATCAACTTTCTTTCTTGTAGTGAAAAAAATAGTGTGACATAAGTTCTAAATGAAAAACCAATGTTTTTAAATGAAAAGCTCTACCAAAAATCTTATTTGAAAAATCATTGGAAACTGAAATACAGGAAATACATAAAAATAAAAACGAGGTAAATCATAGTGGCCTTCTCTCTGTCTTTTTCTAACACTTTCTTTATTATATTTTTGTAGGCTGGTCACAGATATCCCAGCAACTACAGATACAAGCTTTGGTAAATTCTCATATATTACAGATCATGAGTTACTTCTTGCATAATTAGTTTGTCATTTCAAGAGGTTAGATGGGTTTTGGATTAATCAACATTCTTAGGTACAGTTTAAGTTCTATGCACTCACACTACAAAAAATATTTGCACAATCAAGTCATATATAAGATAATAATATTAATTGATAACCTAGTAAAAAATTGTACTCTAATATACTATTAGAGGTAACATATATAAACTTATAACGTAAATTTTATTTACAGTGTCACTTTATATATAACTAAAATCATTTTACTTGTTTTTTTTTGGTGCATTGCAGGAAATGAAGTTGTATGCTACGAGAGTCCACAACCATCATTGGGAATTCATCGCTTTGTTTTCGTGTTGTTTCGACAATTGGGTCGCGAAACTGTATATGCTCCAGGTTGGCGTCAGCATTTTAACACAAAAGACTTTGCAGAGCTTTACAATCTTGGTTTGCCTGTTGCTGCTGTTTACTTCAATTGCCATAGGGAGAGTGGTACTGGTGGCCGCCGCGCATAATTAAAGATATTAATTACTTATATATATATATATATATATATATATATATATATATATATATATATATATATATATATATATACTTAATAAATAAAGCTTTATTGTTAATAAGTAAGTCGTGAAATCTTACTAGAAGTTTTGCAGAAATGTCTGCACTTTGTTTGATATATAACTAATATCTACTATTGGTTAGCATATGATATATAATTGTATTAGTTTCAATATAAGGTTTGATGTTACCTATTAGTAAGCCTTGCTCATTGCTTCCTACATTGTCTTCTGCTCTCCTTCATTAAATAACTTCATTGTGGTTGCTAGTTATTGAAATACAGTCTAACCTATCTTTAACAACATCCTCATATAATATTCATTTACTATAAAAGTTAAATTTTTCTCGGAATCGATTTTGATAGTATATTTTACCTCCCTATAACAACTTTTTACCTATAAAATTAACATTCATCTTTATAGCAGTATGCTCTTTATAAAACTATCCATCCATAACTTTCATGTAGAATCTCTAATAAGATCACCAATAATAAGTTTAAACATTTTGACCTCAACGTACTGCTACTTGGGCCGAGATAGAACATTCAACTCTTAACCTCTTAGATTACCTTCAAGGAAAAACTATTAGGTATCCTTTTGCTGAAAGTTTGGACATAAATCTACGCTAATTCAAGTGTTATATCGCTCTAAGAGACAAGAATCTGTGAAATAAGCTAAAATTATGAATTTCTTTCATCAACTTTGAAATAGTTTACCTTCTAATAGCTTTAAAATGTATGCTTTAGAGTTTAAGTCTTTATACATTTGGTTTAGTTACGAATTTATTAAGGATGTGTTAGTTTTTTTAATACTTAATTAGTAAAATTTACTTATCTTTTGAGTATTTAGATTTGAATAATTTTTTTATCTTTTATATGTAACATTAATAAATTAATTTTGGATAATTTAGTTTATAGCACCCAAAATATATTTAATCATCAAGTGTTGTTATATGTATATAACAATCGTTCACTATAAAAGCTAAAAAATATCGAAACATACTGTAAAAGCAGTATTTAACCTATCCAACTTCAAATACCATAATTGAGCCTAAAAAGCAGTATTTAAAGATTCTCAATAGTTAAGGGGCCTTTTATATGTTCTATATACGATTGCGAAGATGAAGCTAATAAAAATCCAGAATTTATGGCCCTTAATCAAATTGGAAAAATCCAATCATTTCAAATTAATGACAAAAAAACAATGAACATTGTCAATTTTCCTCGGCAAGGATCTCCAACTTCGTCTTTTCTTAGATAACAAAATTCTTTACTTGTAACGATCCGACCTGTCGTTTTGGGTATTTCTACTTCGTTCGGTGGTTTGAGGGTATGCGTAGCTCCGTATGATGTAGTGACTTGTGTGTATCGTCGGTTTCGATATTTGGGTGATTCGGAATTAGTTTGGGAGAATGATTCTCAACTAGGAAGCATAAAGTTGGAAGAGTTGACCAAGTTTGACTTTTGAGTATTTGATCTCGGATCGAAGTTTTGATGGTTCCGTTAGGTCCGGATGGTGATTTTGGACTTGGGCGTATGTCTGAATTTGTATTTAGATATTTCTAGAAGGTTTCGGCACTCATTGGCGAAAGTTAGAAATTTGAAGGTTTGGAATGTTCATAAGTTTGACCGAGGGTTAACTTTGATGTTATCGGGTTGGAATTGTTGTTCCTGGAGATGGAATTGGTTCGATATGTCATTTGGAACTTGTATGCAAAATTTGGGTTCATTCCAGATTGGTTAGGCTTGAATCAGACGCTTGGTTCGAAGTTTGGTGTTTATGAACTTAAGAGATTGATCTTGATCGAAGATTCATGATTTTGATGTTGTTATGCGTGATTTGAGGCCTCGAGTAGGTCCCTATTATGTTATGGGACTTGGTGGTATGTTCGGACGGGGTTCCGAGGGGCTCGGGTGAGTTTCGGGGTGGTCTCAGACCATTTTACTGGCCATTTTTAGTTGCTGATTTTTTGCTACAGGTGTGTACATTGCGATCGCATGGATTTGGTCGCGATCGTGAAGATTAAAATAGGAAAAATGGACCTGTGAATCGCGATTGCATAGAAAAAAAATCTGTTGCACTGACCCGATTTTGGAAGCTTATGTCTTGCAATCTATAAGGAATTTGGAGATGATCCAAATATGACAGTTGTAGCCCTTTGTGTCTAGTTTTTAGAAAATCAAACCATTTGTCATTTGAAGTTTTGTACCAAAAGCTATGGCTAATATACTATAGGCTATCTGAGAAGAGTTGGGAAGAGTTAAATGGAAGTTTGTTCATCACGAACGTGGGGAAATGGCCGCGACCTAATAGGGTAAGAATTGTCCTGCAAAATTTTGTAATCGCGATCACGATGTTTGTAATCGCGATTGCGAAGAGTACCTCTAGAACATTGTATAAAGTACTCTATTTCGAAGGTCTCAGACATTTTTGCATATTTGGAGCTATGGAGATCGGATTAAGATGATTTTTGAAGCGATTACACCATATGAATTAACGTAAGTGTTTTCTACTCATTTTTTATTATATTTCATGAATCTATCTTCATTTTTGGCATTTGATTGAGGATTTCAAGAGAGAAATTGGGGGGTTTTGTCTAAAGTTTTATAGACTGAATTTTCGAGTTTTGAACATCGATTCGGAGTCGGATTTGAGTGAAATTAGTACGGTTGGACTTGTAATTAAATGGGCTGTCAAATTTTGTAAGTTTTGTCGGGTTCTAAGGTGCAGTCCCGGGTTTGAATTTTTGGTTTACTTTGAGTAAAATTGTAAAGATTCAACCTTTATTATTTGAAATTGTTTCCTTAGGCATTACTTGATGTGTTTGAGTTACTTTTGGCTAGTTTTGAGCCTTTCGGAGGTCGGTACGTGCGAGATGCCATTTTTGGTGCATCGTTTGGCTTGCTAGATATTGGATTTGGCTTGTTCGAGGTAAGTAACATTTCTAAACTTGGTGTTGAGGGTACGAACCCCTAAATATACGTGACATGTGTTTGGTGTTGAGGTGAAGCACATACTAGGTGACGGGCGTGTGGGCGTGCACTATGTGAATTGTGACTCAGTTATTTCTATGAAACTGTGTAGTTACCTAATCTTATCTGTAACCATGAAATCTCTGTGTGCTAGAGTAATTGAGCTGTGATCCACGTTTGAAATCATGTCTAGGCTACATGCTTATCCTGTTGGGACCCACTGAGGTCATTTCTGTTGTTGAGTTATTTGCTTACATTGCAATTTCATACCCAGTCATACGCATTCATTTGCATATCATATCTCAGACTGTGTTACCACTTATTGATACGTCACATCATCATTTTTGGGCTGATTTTTCAAGACATTGTGAGCCCGAGAGACTAGAGAGATTGATGACTGAGTGAGCTCGAGGGAATAATTGTGAGGATATTGATGGGATCGGGCTGCACGCCTTAGCAGGTATTATTGATTTATGAAGGGAGCGGGCTGCACGTCGTAGCATATGTTATTGATTTATGCCATGATCGGCTTATTATAGCGTTTGGGCTAGAATTGACCCTCCAGAGTTTGCACATCCACAGTGAGCGCAGGTACCTACTAAGTGCGAATACGAGTGCAAGTGCGAGTGTCGAGCACGAGTGGCGAGAGCATGTGCCGAGTGATTGGGAGGATTGAGTGACTGTGAGGACTGAGTGATTGTGAGGAATGAGTGACTGGGAGGACTGAGTGAATTGATACTCTGAAAGAATGCATATGGTTTACTCACCGTGTTGTATTGCATCGACATGCACACTTGACATACAGGCATAGAGAAGCATTTTTTCTCATGCTGTACAGAATCTCATCATTTCTCACTTCTCATACATATTGACATGTTGGCATAGAGATGTACTTTCCTCATGCCATTTGATAATAAAACATTTACCTATTGAAAAGTTTTCGGAAAAATCACGGTTTTACAAACTTACTCCTATTTTGGTGGTTCCGGTAAAAGATTTGGGTTTTACTGTTATACTAGAATAGCATGCCTATTTTTTCGGAACTGTGAACGAGCTGAGCACTATATCTCTGAGTTACTTCTTGTAGCACTTTTATTATGTTGTTATGAACTGTTGTTGGCTATTGATGTTGGACTCCGACATTTGTTCCAGCTCATCACTACTTTCAACCTAAGGCTAGGTTTGTTACTTATTGAGTACATGTGGTCGGTTGTACTCATACTACACTTCCGCACCATGCGTGCAGATGTTGAATGCTGATGTTGCTGAGTACAGCGGGAGCTGTATCTGAAGATGTACCCGCGTTCCAGTTATGGCTATCACTTGTCCTTGGTAGCATTAGATTCGAATTCTGTTCATTTACATTTCAAACAGATGTTGTAATTATCTCAGTTCAGTCTTGTAAAAATCTAAATTTTAGAAGCTCATGATTTGTACTACCAGTCCTTGGAAAATTCTTTGTATAAAAGCAGTTGTATTATTATTTATTCTCTTAATAAATCTAATTAAATTGGATGGTTGTTAATTGGCTACCTAGCAGGTTGGGTTAGGTGCCATCAATAATAGTTGGATTTTTGGGTCATGACAAGTTGGTATTAGAGCTCTAGATTCATAGGTTTTACGAGTCATGAGCAAGTGTCTAGTTGAGTCTTGCAGATCGATATAATGATGTCCATACCTATCTTCGATAGACTACATGACATTTAGGATAAGCCTCCCATCTTACTTTCCTTATCGTGCAACATTGATTCAGCTTGAAGCATAACTCTTTGAATTCCTTCCACGCACTTGTATGCGCATGTGAGCCTCAGTATCAGCCGTACATCGACGACTTGTGATTCCATGGATGAGGTGCAAGTTGTGATTTCTGTGTGCTGTCGGTGGGCCAGTTTGGAGGACTTGAGGCCGGGTTTGATTAAGCTTGAGCACGGGGATTTCAGTTGTGTGAGCACGTGCTTTTGGACTTCTGTCCGGTGGTGT